AGAATATACATTTCCTATTTTCTATTGTGTTTTTTGATTCATTCTCCATGTTTATTCCATCATCCAGAGCACCATTTTTTTCAGCAGGCACCAAGTTGTTGTTTTTTCTTTCTTTTTTTTTTTAATTTTCCTGATGAGACACATCTTACACAATGACTGGGAATGACTGGGCAACATTTGACCTGGAGGCCTGCAAGACTCCACCTTTCCCCAGCCCCGGGAGTTTCCTGATGATAACAGGTTGCCTTTTTTGCCTTCTATTGATCTATATCTATTGGTCCAATGTCGGCTTTTGCCACATCTTCTATACAATCCAGAAGGTTGAGACCTTCTATTTTTGTCATTCCCAGAGGATACATAATTTCTAGGAATGCCTTATCTACAATCCCTTCTCAGATGTCCTGTTATACCACAATTAAACATTTGGCAATTTGACATCTCATACTTTTGGAAATTGCTTCTCCTACTCAAGCCTCAGTATTATAGTCAAATGCCTCAACATTTATTGTATGCAGGATCCCTTCATTCTTTAGTGCCGATCTAAACTTTAAAGGCCCAAATATCTTTTTGCATTCTAAGTTCGCATTTTCAAAAGCCAGAGACTTAATAAGTACTCAAATAGCTTCTGGGTCTGTTACTACTATTTGTACAACCTTAGTTAATCTTCTTAAAAAGTCACTAAAGGGTTTTCTTTGATATTGTTTAATCCTAATATATGATTCAATTATCTTTCTTGGTTCCTGAATCCTCTCCCAAGTATTTAAGGCTACTGTATGGCAGAGGGAGATGATGTGTTCATCTTAAAGATCTTGATCCTGTGGATCAGCAAAAAAGCCCTTGCCAATCTTGGGGAGCCTCAAATCCTTTGGTTCTTTCCTGTTGCTCTAATATTTTAGCTTCAACTTGCTAGTAGCACTTCCATTAGAATTGTGGTCCATCTTCTGGGACTGCTGTGATTAACTAAATCCAATCATTTGGAGTATCCTTATTGCTTGGCTATGGATCCCTGCATCTGTTTCATTCCATTACTGGATGTAGGTTCTATGATGACAATTATGGTAGTCTCTAATCTGATTACATGGACAGGCCAGTTCAGGCAGCCTCTCCACTATTGAGAGAAGTCTTTTCTGGGGTCATCCTTGTGAATTGCTGGGAACTTCCCTAGCACCAGGTTTCTCCCCCATAATGACTACCTCTATCAGGACATCTTTCATTGTTCTCCCCCATTGTCCCTCTCTCAACTCAGCCATCTTGATCCCTCATGTTCCCATCTGCATCCCTTCCCTTCAAACCACCTCCCCCCAGTTTATACAGGATATCTAAACTATTTCCCCTTCCTGGGGCCCTCCATGCGTGTTCTTCTTAGGGTTCTCATAATGATTTTTTTTCTGGTTCCATCCATTTGCCTACAAATTTCATGTCATTGTTTTTTAATGCTAAGTAATACTCTACTGTATAAATGTATCATATTTTCTTTATTCATTTTTCCATTGAGGAGCATCTAGGTTGTTTCCAGCTTCTGGCTATTATGAATAATGCTGCTATGAACTTAGTTGAGCAAGTATCCTTGTGATTTGACTGAGCTTCTTTTGGGTATATTCTCAATAGTGGTAATGGTGGGTCTCAAGGTAGATTGATCCCCAATTTTCTGATTAAACAACTATATCAATTTCCAGAGTGGCTATACAAGTTTGCACTCATACCAGCAGTGGAGAAATGTTCTCCTTACTCCACATCGGCTCCAACATAAGCTGTTATCAGTGTTTTTGATCTTACCCATTCTGACAATTGTAACATAGCATCTCAGTGTCATTTTGGTTTGCATTTTCCTTATTAAGGGATCAAGAAACTAGATATCAAAATACCAAAAAATTCAATTTAAAAATGAGGATTAAACAGAATCCTCAACAGAAGAATCTCAAACGGCTGAAAGACACTTAAGGAATTGTTTCTTAATAAGGGACCACAGACACAACAACAACAAAAAAGAATTACAAACCAGTCTCCCTCATGAACACTGATGCAAATATACTCAATAAAATATTAGCAAACCATATCCAAGAACATTTCAGAAACACTGTAATTTTCTCTTTTCATTGCATCTTTGTGTGGTTTGGGTATCAGGGTAACTGTAGCCTCATGAAAAGAGTTTGGAAGTGTTCCTTCTGTTTCTATTGTGTGGAACAATTTGAGAAGTATTGGAATTAGCTCTTCTTTGAAATTCTGGTAGATTTCTGGGCTGAAACTATCTGGCCCTGGACTCTTTTTAGTTGGAAGACTTTTAATGACTGCTTCTATTTCCTTAGACGTTATAGGTCTACTTAAATTGTTTATCTGGTCTTGATTTAATTTTGGTATGTAGTACCTATCCAGAAAATTTTCCAGTTTTGTGGAGTACAGGTTTTCAAAGTATGACCTAATGATTCTCTGGATTTCCTCAGTGTTGGACATGTTTCCCTTCTTATTTCTGATTTTGTTAACTTGGATATTCTCTCTTTCAGTTAGTTTGGATAAGGGTTTGTGTATCTTATCAATTTTTTCAAAGAACCAACTCTTTGTCTCATTGGTTCTTTGTATTGTTCTCTTTATTTCTATTTTATTTATTTTAGTCCTCAATTTGATTATTTCCTGTCATCTACTCCTCCTGGGTAAGTTTGCTCCTTTTTATTCTAGAGCTTTCAGGTGTACTGAAAAGTCATTAGTGAAATTTCTCCACATTCTTTATGTAGGCACTAGTGCTATGAACTTTGCTCTTAGCACTGCTTTCATAAGTGTCCCATAAGTTTGGGTATTTTGTGCATTCACTTTCATTAAACTCAATAAAGTCTTTGATTTCTTTATTTCTTCCTTGATTCTGGGAATGATTCAGCTGAGCATTGTTCAATTTCCTTGCATTTGTAGGCTCTCTGCAATGTGTTGTTTTTGAATTCTGTCTTTAAGCCATGGTGATCTGAATAGATACAGCAGGTTCTTCATATTTATGTTGTATTTGTTGAAGTGTGCTTTATTACCAAGTATGTGGTCAGTTTTAGAGATGGTTCCATGTGGTGCTGAGAAGAAAATATTATATTATTTTGTCTTTGGGTGGAATGCTCTATAGATATGTGTTAAGTCCATTTGAGTCATAACATGTTAGTTTCCTTATTTCTGTTAATTCTGTCTGGCAGACCTGTCCAGTGCTAAGAGTGGGGTGTTGAAGTTAGTGTGTGGGGTTTGATGTGTGATTTAAGCTTTAGTAGCTTCTTTTATAAATGTGGTTGCTTTTGTATTTGGGGCATAGATATTCACAATCGAGACTTGATCTTGATGGAGTTTTCTTGTGGTGAATATAAAATGTCCTTCTCCATCTCTTTTGACTAATTTTAGTTTGAAGTCTGTTTTGGTAGGTATTAGGATAGCTACACCAGCTTGTTTCTTAGGTCCATTTGATTGGAAAATCTTTTCCCAACTCATTATTCTGTCTTTGCGGTTGAGGTGTGTTTCTTTTATGCAGTAGAATGGTTCCTGTTTTTGTACCCATCCTATTAGCCTGTGTGTTTTTATAGGTGAATTGAGTTCATTGATATTAAGAAATACTAATGACCAGTGATTATTAATTCTTGCTATTTTTCTGTTTTGGTGGTGGTGGTGGTAGTGCTTGTGTGTTTCCTTTCTTTGGAGTTTGCTGGTGTGAGGGTATCTGTGGCCTGTGTTTATGTGGATGCAACTAACTTCTCTGGGTTGGAGTTTTTCTTCTAGCACTTTCTGTATGGCTGAATTTGTAAATAGGTATTGTTTAAATCTGGTTTTATCATGGAATATCTTGTTTTCTCTGTCTATGGTGATTGAAAGCTTTCCTGGGTATAGGAGTCTGGGTTGGCATAATGTCTGCTCAGGTCCTTCTGGCTTTCAGAGTTTCCATTGAGAAGTCAGGTATAATTCTGATAGGTCTCACTTTATATGTTACTTGGCTTTTTTCCATTAAAGCTCTTTATATTTTTTTGATTTTGTGTGTTTAGTGTTGTGATTATTATGTGGCAAGGGGACTTTTTTTTTTTTTAATTCAGTCTATTTGGTGTTCTATAAGCTTCTTGTACCTTCATAGGCATGTCCTTCTTTAGGTTGAAATTGTTGAATATATTTTCTGTGCCTTTGAGCTGGAATTCCATTCTTTCTTCTATACCTATTATTCTTAGGTTTGGCTTTTTCATTCTGTCCCAGATTTCCTGAGTATTTGTGTTAAGAATTTGCTGGATTTAACATTTCCTTTGGCAGATGAATCAATTTCTTCTGTCATATCTTCAATCTCTTCTATCTCTTGTATTCTGTTGGTTATGTTGCATCTGTAATTCATGTTCATTTACCCACATTTTTTATTTCCAGAATGTGATACAGACAGCCTCTATATCAAGTGTCAAGTCTTGAACTGTTTCCTTCACTTGATGTTTTTCTTGGCTTTCCTTAAGGGATTTATTGATTTCTTCCAATTTTTTGTCCTTTCCTCTATTTCTTCAAGGGAATCTTTCATTTCCTTTAGACCAGACCCCAACATAAACTCTCTCTCTCTCTCTCAACCGAAGTGGAGGAGACAGAAATAAAGACACAACTCACATGGCTTAATTGGGAGGGAGATTCTCAGTGGTCCCTCATGAAGTCCTGAGTTCATATCCTGAAGAATTCCTCTCATTTATTCCCCAAACAGCTTTTATACCAACACATAAACTGAGCATGAAAATACACCAGACCTGTCTCCTAGGTAACCAGGTTAATAGCATTTTGTCATGTAGCTCTTCCTGAATTGAGACATGTGCATTTTTTCCCATGAGAACAGGGGTTGTGAATGGTCAAGAGGAAGGTGTCACGCTCTTCACCACACACCCAGTGTACACACTGTCAGCACAGCTTTCACTGTTGGTGCTAACCTCAATCACCTGGCTGAAGTGGTACAAGAAATGTCTATTTTATAAGCTACAGCAAATTACAATAATTTCAAGGATAGGGCAAAAGTAAACTAAGACACATAAAGAAAATGAATTTTATTTTTCTTGTTTCAAACTTGAAAGACAGTACTTATCTTCAGCAAGTATAGTGACTATTAAAACACTGATCACATATTCTTAGCTATCCTAGGAGCATGAACAATATTGAAGGTAAAAGTATCTGTAAAGGACCTGAGTTTGGTTCCCAGCACCCATTTGAGGAATCTCACAACCGGAAACTACAGCTTCAAGGATCCAACACCCTCTTACAGACTCTGATGGCACCTGTGTTCACATGTATATGCATGTGTGTGTGTGTGCACGCACAAATTACCTCATTCATTAGAATATACAAAGGGAAAGCTAAATCTAGTGCGATGGCTGATGGTCTTTGGTCTCATTAAAATATCAAGACTAAAAGAAAGAGTATCAATTTAAATTTGAGTCTTTATGACACTGTCAGGAAACTACAGCCTTTGATTTGGGGACTGACATTGGAACAATAACCAACACAGCCACAGCGTCCACAGAAATTCCAAGATGACCCAGGAATGGACAGAAGCTAAGGGTGGAAGCTTCACCTCGCTGCTTGGCTGTGAGAGTCCTGGAAGAAGCACAGTGAGGCCAACTTACTGAGGACACAGAAAGGGCAAAGCTGAGCAGAGAGCTTTCCACTGTGGCTCAGAAAGCCCTAGACAGCAGCCCCACCTGTCTTACTCAGCACATGCTCAGGCAGTCAGAGCTCCCACAAAAGCAGCCCAGTGCTGGGGCTGACAGCCATCTGTTCTAACAGGTGACTTCCATTCAGTCCCTCCACTGTGATGACTTTGGAGAGTGTCAGTACCATCCCCACAGGGGCATGAGCTCCTTTGGGTGTCCGTGAAGTTGCACTGTGAGGAGCAAAGGGTGGCAGGTGCTCTCAAACATTACTGCAAAAAAGCTGCCAGATAAAATAAGAAAAAAATGAAAATGAAGGATGCTTTACACTGTTCTAAGATACAATCATTATTTCAACCCTGCAAAAGCTAGAGAGAAAAGAAGCTTCTTGGCAATGTCCTAAAGAAACCTGTTATTCTATGTGTTAACAGAAAGAAAAAGGAAGCTCCAATATGTCAGACCACCTGTAAATCCAGAGTTCCAGATGAAACAGTCTCTAAAGGGGATACACATTAGTATCCATCTTTTATAAATGCAGTGTGTGTGGCATAGCATGCACATGGAGGCCAAAGGACAACTTCTGGGAGCTGTTTTCTCCTTCCACCGTGAATTCCAGGGATCAAACTCATGTCAGCCTTGAGGAACAAGTACTTTTACCCACTGAGCCATCTCTCTGGTCCAATATCCATCTTCTTGACTCCTTGGTGGGACTTTCTTTAAGGAGAATCGGGATGCAGATGTTGGCTAATGGCTTTACTAACATCACAGGAGATGCCTTTTGGATTTGCCATACAGTTGGAGTTTCTTTGTTGTGAGCAACTGTGCCAGGCCATTAAGAAATACCAGAAAGATGGTCATGGACATGACAATCACATAGTGGCTGATGCTGCAAAAGGAGAGAACTTATGAGAAAAGCACAAGATCCCTAAAATTTTTGAGAAAATTTTAAATGGACTTACAAAGCAGAGGATTATAAAAAATGCATAGAATTATAAAAGGTACCAATGATTTAAAAAGCAGACACCAGAAGCCAGGGGGGTGGCTCAGTGAACTGTTTCCTAAGCTAACCTGAGTTCAGATGCCCAGCATGCATGTAAAAAGGCAGCACATGCCTGCCATTTCCATGCTGGGGGTAAAGACCAGAGGATCCCAGGTTGCTACAGGCCAGCCAGTCCAGCTAATTGATAAACCTCAGTGTTAGCTCTCAAACCCGGAATAAATAGCTAACTGGGGTGCCATTTCAACATATCAAAGTGAACTTAGCCACCAGATTTTCCCAGCATCCCTCCGTAACTGTTACAGGGCATAGCTGATATACTCCATCCAACCTCTACATTGAACTCTCCAGCCTAGGGGCTGGGCTGTCTTTTCCCCAGAGGCTCTCCCCTATATAATCCAGACATTTTGGTTGCCTGGCCCTTTCGTCTGTCCTTTACTTTCCTGATCCCTTGGCTGCCTGTTCCCTTCCCCTCACCCCTTTCCTCATGCCCTGATCATGGCCTTGTTCACTCTGGGCTCTCCCAGATCTCTGCCTCTGACTATGCTTTCTCTTTTATCTACAGTAAACCTCCTCCTCCACCAGACCTAGGAGCAGTCATGGCCTTCCTTTTTTATTTCTCTTTGTTCATTCACCTAGCTTCACGAGGAGACTGTGCCTCAAAGGCTAAAGTGGAGAGAAATAGAGGAAGATACCCTGTGTTGACATCAGGCTTCCTCAAGTGTCCCTGCCCGCATTCAAAACAGATAATACCATAAAAAACAAGAGTTAGTTAACTATGTATGAAATGTATAAATAAAATATGTGCTACATTGGCAATAAATTAAAAAATGCATATTACTTATATATATTATTTTAAAACCCTAGTAACATAATCCTTCTACTGAAATAGGGAAGAACAGAACATTTGGAGGAGTTGGAAAGTACAGGACATTATAAAAAGGCCTTTGAAACATCACTAGTGTAATGGTCTGTCCTGTCCCTTTAAGAGACAAGCCCCGCCCACTCCCCCATCAGCTGAGGCTGGAAGATCTTCCTGCTTACAGCCCGAGTCTCTTCCTTTCTCTCTCTCTCTCTCTCTCTCTCTCTCTCTCTCTCTCTCTCTCTCCCTCCCTCCCTCCCACACACTCTCCCTCTCCCTCTCTCTATGTCTCTCTCTCTCTCTGTTTCTCTCTGCTCTTTTCCCTTCTCCCCTTCCTCCCATCCCCTTCCTTTCCATAACCCACTAAGTAGATATCCAACCTCACTCTGTAGGCGTGCCTGTCTCTCACCCGCCCAGGCTGCGGCTCCTCACGGGACTGGCTGCCCCACCAAGGTCTCTCACCCGTCACAGTGCCCCCTGTGGCCACTCAGGGAACCACAGAGTTTATTTTTACCATTGTAACTAGTGCTCATGCTTTGCCACCAGAGGAACTGATCTCATGTTTTACACAAGCCATTTTCTCACTACAACATTTGGACTATATTTTATCCATAGACTACTCATGTTCGAAGTGCTTTGGCAAAATTCCCAGTCACTAAGAAAGAAAAATGTTATTCATTGCTAAATTCATTGATGTAAAAAGGATTAATCTCTTTATGAATCTCACAATCGAAGACACCATCTCCCAGACTGTTGGCAAAAGACAGAAGATTAACAGATTCAACTAAAATTATTCAATCTTAACGCATTAGCAGTAGCAAATACTCAATCCTGCCCCTGCTTTGGTGTGTATGTACATGAATGCAGTGGCCAGAAGTCAATTTTAGTATTGTTTATCACAAACCACCTTCTTCTTCTTCTTCTTCTTCTTCTTCTTCTTCTTCTTCTTCTTCTTCTTCTTCTTCTTCTTCTTATTATTATTATTATTATTATTATTATTATTATTACTATTACTATTATTACTATTATTTGGCATTCTCTCTCACAGAACCTAGGACTCCCAATACACCTAGGCTGGCTGAGCAAGCCCCAGTTTTTCCTGCTTCCACTTCCTGAGTTCTGGGATTATAGGTATGAATGCCACCATGTCTGGCTTTTTTTTTAAAGGTGGGTGTTATAGATGAAACTGCAAATAATTCAACTAGTAACCAAAATTTTTCTATTTAAACACAAAACGTAGTCCATACAGCACATGGTGGAAAGAAACCCTGAGAAGTATGTAAAGCAGGGTCTTCCCACAGTGACTACAGCGCTGCCCAAACTAATCTGTAAACACCGCAACCTGCTTTCAATACCTAAGAGTGACAGTTAGCTACTAACTTTACAACAGCCTTGCATGTTTTACGTTCTTCATCAGAGAGGGGGAACACTGGCATATCCACCTAGCCATATTTAAGGTTTGCTTCAAATCTGGCTTTAACCTGTGGTAGTGTCTTATTCTCCATTGGTGGGATGAACAGAAAGATGAAGACACAAAGGTAAGTAGATATTCCCACCCTCCCAGTAACACCACAGATAAGCAGGCTGTCAGACCTTAAGCTGCTGGCGTTAATTTAGCTTCAGCCTGTTTTAAGGCAAGGGCCCACAGAGCCAGGAAGAGCCTTTCACTCGGTGCAGACTTTCTCTTGTGGCAATGTTAGTGTTTAAGTAGGAACCTGGAGCTGGAAAGTACCACAGTCTGTGAAGGTTTGCTCTGGAAAGACACTGTCGAAGTTCTTATCTATAGTTCTTTCTAGGTTGATCTTATTGCAAAGTTAATTTAAAGGGAAAATAAAGAACTCGAATTGACTAATGCAATAACAAGGATTACAGCCTTAGACACACAGCCTGCTTCACGGCAGACTGCTGACCAAAGAAAGAAAACAAAACCAGATCCGTAACTGCTGACAGTATCTACTCTATAATAAGAGCTTAAACATCTCTTATTTTCATTATAGAAGTAAGATAATGGGACATTATGCTGAAATTTTTATATACTAAAAGTTCTCTGATTGTGTATTTCTATTTTGACCTGAAATAAATATAGCTCTTATCTACTATTAGTAAAAATCATTAACAATTATATTACTTTAAAATGAAAATAACAACTCCAAGACTATTATCATCATTAAGATGCACTGGGAATAAAAATTTTATAGTAATTTTTAAGGTAATACTTTTGAAAAGCTCATAGCAAAATACAAATTTGACTAAAACATTAGTTTTGTTATATAGCATCTGGTGACTAATTGACTAATCTTACTATAAAGTCTTCCAAAACAAGGTAACTAAAGTTTATTATGATAAAGATACTGGGAAAATAAACTAACAGGAAATCAGAAACATTAAAAAAAGAACAAAACAAAACCCCAGTAAACTTTTCCAGATATGGAGCTGATTTACTTTCTGTAATGGTCTATCCTGTCCCTTTAAGAGACACGCCCCACCCACTCCTTCCCCCATTCACCAAGGGAAGCAGATCTTCCTTCCATTTCCAGCCTGAGCTTCTTTCTTTTCCGTCTCTCTCCCAAAGAGGTAACAACAGCTGTGGCTCCTCTCCTCTCTCCAACTCCCCTCTCCCCTTTCTCCCTCTCTCCCTCCCTCTCTCTGCTCTTTTCTCCTTTCCCCTTCATAACTAAATAAATATCTAACCTCACTGTGCATGGCATGCCTATCCCTCTCTGTCTCTCAACCACTGCGTGGCTTCCTGCTGGCCCTTGTGGCCTGTCGCTGTGTCCTGGAGAACCGTAGCATTTTATTTAAACGGTAACATTTGGTGCTCATGACTCGGCCAGGCTCTCTCCATGTTCTCTCCCGCCTGCAGGAGGGCCAGCTGAGGACATGTGGAATGCTGGACTGGGGAGCCAGGTTTCTCTACCACAGCCCTGCACTTCCATCTGTCTGAACACCGGAGGCTTCGGTGGTGAGTTTTCCCCTTCCAGCTCCCAGCCACAGCCTTCATGGCTATGGTTGAGCCCTTTGCTGACATTCATCTCGGTTGCTTCCCAGAGCTAAAAATGTGATTGGACGACCCAGGGTCAGTCCTCCCACGCTAGCACTGCGCATACACTATGTGGTGTGTTTGATTTGGAGACTGGGGGGTTCCTTGAATTTTTCTTTCTCCTTTTTCTTTTCTTTTCTTTTGGACCACTTGTAAGTGGTCCCCGCTATGAGAGATGGCTCAGAGTGGCCTCTAGCCTTTGGCTTCTGAGTCACCTGGACCCAGAGCCAGTCAGACTTCATTCACACCCCACCTTTAGAGAAAAGATGTTTTCCTACGGGCCTTACAGTATTCATTCACTGTTTTTGTGGTTTTTCACATTTTCAGCTATGGTATAAACCCTCAAACTATCAGCCACGCACCTGTAAATGCTGTGCCAATGTCCCTCTGGCTCTGCTTTTCCTCAAACTATCCCTGCCATTCGGCAATGAGGCAGATCATGCCTCTAGTTCTCTCTTGTTATTAAGTTTAAAACTCTCACAGCTCAAAAAATAATGGCTTTTCCATACAACATGTACTACTGCCATTTTGACTGAGGTCAGGTGACCTTACTGCCATCTTAACTGATGTCAGGTGACTTCACTGCCACCTTAAATGAGAGACCAAGTCCTGCCATCTTTACTGAGGTATTCCCTGCATAGTTCCCTGTTGGGGACTCCTGCATGTATGTTTTGTCAAGCAGCATGCCTTTGGTAGGTGGTGCAGGAAAACTGTCTGTATTCTGTCAATCATGTTATAAATAAACGCTGATTGGCCAAACAGGAAATATAGGTGGGAAAAACAAACAGGAAGTAGAAATGATGCAAGGAGAACAGGAGAATTCTGGGAAGGAGGAAGCTGATTCCTCCCACTCCTGCCCAGATCACTGAACCAGCAAGATGTGATCTGCCCCACTGAAAAAAGGTACTGAGCCACATGGCTAACATAGACCAGAAAAAATGGGTTAATCAAGATGTGAAAATCATCCAGTGAGAGGCTAGAGCTAAT